TTACAGAGTATAGGACCTTAGGTGGAATCCTGAGTCCCATGCACAACCTTGTGAGATGAGACATTCCCACTAGAAAGGACAAGCAGACTGGAACAGCTACAGTGACAGAAGATACATCTCCATTATGAACCTGACCTATACTCAGAGCAGTAGTTACTCTAAATACCAACAGAGAGGAAAAGAGTCTTCAAATCAAGTATCAATGCTATCCGCTCTGTGCACAGGGTAGATAGGGACGGGCAACTTAGACATTGGCTATCTAAAATGAGGGGACAATAAAGGCACGAAGTGACTGGCTTACAAGGTTTCAAGAGGGAGTTTAGTTTAAGAGTGTGGGGGGAAAGAAAGAGTCCCCACTGAATAGCTATCATCTTGTCTAGATGGGTCTGGTGAAAGGAGATGGGGATAAGATTCATAAGATTCAATAGTGAATAACTGTTATCATGACTAATCACGACTGTCACACTTGTAAAGGTAGAAGTTTTGTAACAAAAAAGGGGAGTGGTTGATCTTACAGTCCAGAAACAGAGGACCCTAGGACCATCAAGAGAGAAGCGCACAAGAAGAATGTGGGACCTTATCCAGAGAAGCAGCAGCGCCAGAGATGGAGGTAGAGATGGGGGCATGGAGGACTCTAGATTCATCAACTAAGACGAGAAGGACTAAGAACTGGTGGCCAGGAGCAGACTTGCAGAATGTGCCCTTTGGAGATGTAATTTATTATATATGCCTGAGTGGGGTTTTTTGTTTGTGTGTTTTTAAGAAAGCTAAAGTGGATAGAGAGAAATACTTTTAACTGATGGTATATGGAGGGAATTATAAGCAATGTAATGAAACAAGTTATATGAATTGTTGAATGTGAATCTGATGATGTGCCCTGTAAACTTTCACTCAATCCAGAATAAAAACCTTAAATTAAAAAACAAACAAACAAACAAAAAACCCTAAACTAGAAAATGCCAAGGTAACTTTCTAGTATCCCTTAGTGACTACACAGGAAAGCCGGTCAGAAAAAGGGATTGAAGAGGAAGATGGTGTGGGAAACAGATCAAGTGATAACCCTGTGCATGGAACGGCTCAGCTAGGAGAAATGATTTACAGACCGGCCAACTCAGCAAGTTAACTTCCCACACAAGATTATTATGCTGCGTTAAAGAAGGGAAACCAAAAAAGAAAGAATAATAAGTAAGAAAGAAAAAAAGAGTTCAAGAGGACTTCATGAAGTTCTTGGGAAAATGGAACTGAGCGATAACAGAATTTTCCCATGGGCGTTTTGACGTCCCCTTGTATATAAACAGTGCAAATGAATCCAGAGTGATCGATAGCATGTCAGGGGTTGCCTGAAGATTGCAGTTGGACACGAGAAGTCATTTTGTTGTTGTTGTTGTTGTTGTTGTTAGGGGCCTTGAAGTGGTTCCAACTCACAGCAACCGCTACACACAACAAAGTGAAACACTGCCCTGTCCTGCGCTGTCCTCATAAGTGTTGCCTGAGCACAAAGTTGCTACCACTCTGTCCATCCATCCCATTGGGAGTCTTCCTCTTGTTCACCGACTTTAAAGTAGAGACTTTAACAAGCAAGGTCCTGGTTCCTCCTGACTCCACGAGACAGAGTCTTACCATTCTCACTTCTAAGGAGCATTCTGGTTGTACTGCTCCGAAGAATGATTCTTCAATTCTTCATTCTTCCTTATTCTGTAGGTACTCTAATGTTGGTGTGTTGTTGTTACGTGACACTGATTCAGTTCTGCCTCACAAGGACCCTGCGTAGGGTTTCCGAAGAGCAGGTGGTGAGTTTGAACTGCCAACCTTGTAGTTTAAACCGACCTTTCAGTCCATCCAGCGCATTACCCTGCAGCACCACACCAGGATTTCTCTGTAGTAATAGAACCCCAATGTTCAGCAGGGCTTATGCTGAATTGAATTGCCAAAAAAAGTTCCAGGTGCACTGTTACATTTTATTTTCAGAAAAATTAGAAATAATTTTTAATATAAGTATATTCCATGAATTGCATGGGATATAGTTATACTATGTATTTGACCATCCTGTATTTTTATTTGGAGTCCTGGTGTAGCTCTGAGAGTTAATGCACCACACTGTAAAGCCGTTTGAACTGCAAGGTTAGTGGTTCAAGCTCACCAGCTCCTCCTTGGAAAACCCTATACAGGGTCGCTATGGGTCAGAATCAACTCGACGGCACTTAACAACAACAAAAACATATTTGTATTTGCTAAATCAGGCAACCCAAGAAGAGACTAAAGGCTGTATTCCCAGCCTCCCTTGCAGCTAGGCGCAGCCATGTGACTGAGACCAACCAATGAAACATGAGTACTCACCAGACTATGCCCTTAAAAGTTTTGCAACAATGGCATGGTGGGGGTCTCTGACCTCCTCTAGCTTCCCAAAGGGGAAAGAAAATCACCAGTCCTGGTGTTGCACTGTAGGATCAGCATTGGCCTGCCAGCCACAAGGCTGGTGGTTCAAATCCACCAGCTGCTCCTCGGAAACCCGATACAGGATGGCTGTGAGTCAGAACTGACTCAAGGGCAATCAGTCCCAGGTAAATTCCTCTGAGGCATGCGTCCACTCTTCACCCTTTTACCAATTCTAATAGCAATCCTCTCTCCCACAGCACTCTTGACCTCTCAGGGGTTCGACAATGTGTTGTAGTAGGCCCACGGAACTCAGACAACACTCACACTTGTGGGGTTTATCAGAGAAGTTAATAGAAACGACTCCGGATATAGTTTTACAATCATGGCAGCTTCTTAACTCTGCCCACAGGCAGGTGGCTCTCTGGCTTTCGACTCCTCAGGTCCTGGGGCCAGCCCAGCCAGTAAGTGCCTGGAGGTACCCACTTCACCAGCAAGCCTCCTGACACAGGGCACTCAGCTCTTGTACCCTGTGGGCCAGGAAGCCCACCATCTGGTCTCCTGCTGATGTCCTGGTTCTGTTGCCGCCTTATCTCTGCCAGTGATTCTTGCCACGTCTCTGTCTTGTGGGTCTAGAAGGATCCCAGCACAGGGACTTCAGGTTAATAGACATACAACGTAGCAGTTACAAATCGGGCTGCGAACCTCGAAGGTCAGCAGTTCGAAACCACCAGCTGTTCCACGGGAGAAAGATGAGGCTTTCTGCATCCCGTAAAGATGTACAGCCTCGGAAACCCTGTACAGGGTCGTTATGAGTCGGTTCCAACTCTAAGGCACATAACCACCACAACCACCACCACCACCCAAGGTCAGCGGTTCAAATCCACCAGCCAGCCATTCCTGAGAAACCCTGTACTAAGTTGGAACCAACTGAATGGCACTTTTAACAACAATAGACTAATCTTTTGGTAGGAATTACAAAACCCTACCCAGAAAATCCCTATGAAATGGATCCTTCTCATGGCAGAGTTAAAGGGCAAGCACCTGCCTCTCCCCTCAGCCCCCCTCCCCTGATGGACAGCACTAAGCCAGACCACACCTGCTCCTGCCCAGGCTCAAGTGAGCTCCCAGGGAGGTCTGCCAGTCTGTCCCACCCAGCCACCTGTCTCCTACTCACTACCTACTGTCACCTGGCACCTAAGTGACTTCCTGCCACCACATAGCTGCCCAAAGAGGACTCTCTGGTCTGTACACTATGACCCAGTACCTGTGTAAGTGTATGCCAGGCTCACCCTGGTACCCCCAAACAAGACAGGTGAGTGGTTGGGAGGCCAGTACAGACAGCACAGAAGGAAGATCCCCTCAGAGTTTCTGGAGCCCAGAGATAAATACATACATGCACACACATACATACGTGCACACACACACATGTGCTCATGTGCATGCACACATGAAAACAAACTGTGACGATAAACTCCCAACTTGCAGCGACGCTCCAACACAGAGTAGAACTGCCCTGTGGGGTTTCCAGTGGAGCAGCTGGTAGGTTCAAACTGCCGACCTTTTAGTTAGCGGTCAAGTGCTTAACCCGCTGTGCCACCTGGGCTCCTTTACTCACACACCTCCCAACAAGATGGACGGACACAACGGCTCAACGGTGGGCTCAAACAGCAACAACTGTGAGGATGGCACAGAACTGGGTAGCATTCTGTTCTGTTGTACATGAGGTGGTTGAGTGGAAACCGACTCAACGCCACTTAACAACAACACACATATGTACCTAGATCAGTTACATAAGTGACCTGCGGGCAAAACAGAGACAAAAAAGCCCGCTGTTATCTCGGGAAGTGGACTGGGAATGGCTGGTTCAGCCAGCCTCAGGCTGTGGTCCAGGGCACCAGGACATGCTGAGGAGGTGACAAGCACCTGGGAAGTAAAGGTGGCTACGCCAGGGATAAACAGCCCTCATGTCTGGCCTAGGTTTGTACCAACAATATGCAGAGATCACGTTGATAAAAGACCATAATCTTGACTTTAAAAGCAGCTTGGGGATGAAGATAGGAAGGGAGGAAATTCAGGGGGGGTTCTACATGCAGTGCACGCAGGTGTGTGTGGGTGTGAGCGTGGATCTGCACTTCTGTGTGTACATGCCCAGAGCCCATAGAGGAACCCCTAAAGAACAGAGCCAAGCAGGTTCTCAGAGTATGGGGAGGTGGCCCCACCCCTCCCTTGGCCAGTCAACCACTGCCCATGTACCCGCCCTCTAGGCATCTGTCCGTCCTGGTGACTGAGGGCAGGGGGCCAGGCACAGCCTGTTTACTGTGAGCCTGGCTCATCCTTGACCACATTAGACCCTCAGGAAGCCCCTGCTGATACCCCCACCCCCACCTCCAAACAAGGGCAGCAGGTCAGACACCTCACTGGGGCCACCTGCCTCAGCACTAGTGCTGGCCGCGAACAGGTGTCTAGGAGGAACAGCTAGGAACTGGAGCTTGGAGAGGGGCTGAACCAGAGACCCAGGGATTGATGCAGACAGGATCTGGTACCAGAGCAGGAAGACAGGACGCAGAGGCAGGTGAGGGAGCCAGGTGTTTATTGACGAGGGGACAGTGTCCGGCCAGAGATCCTCAGCGGCCAGTAGGCCAGCAGGCACACAAGGCCCGACGTTCCGCCTGCAGCAGGAGGGTCTCCGTCTGCAGAGTAGCAAGAGGCTGGGATGTGAGAGGCTGCCCAGCCAACACCAGCCTTCCCCTTGCCCCACCCGACCCACAGCAGTCCCCAGGCAGCTGACCTCAAGGTCACCCCTCCCACTCCCTGCACTCCTGGAAATCTGAAGGGGTTCTCTCTGCATCCTGTCCTGCCTCTGTGTCCTCACACAGGCTGGTCACTGGGCCTGGACCATGGTTCCCTGCCTTCACCTTCAACCTGCACTCCACCTCTCAGGTGTTTACTCCTCCCCTGGCCCCCAGGGCTCTTCCTCTGGGGTGCTCCAGGCTGTGTGTGGGGTCTCAGGAATTGGTCCGAAAAGGAAGTAGGGTTGTGAGAGGCGGGAGCAGGCAGAGTTTCCCTTAATTTTCCACTTCTGTGAATCCTTCCCCGAAAAAAAGCAAAGGCCCCAACACAAGTGACAATCCCTTAGCTGTATAGCTATCTGGTCATCCACGCTTAGAGGGGGCGTGTCTACCCTGCCCCCAAATCTGAAGCTTGAAGCTGTGCGCTCCTTATCCCACCCCCCACCCAGTGGGGTCTGGGGGAACAAGAGTCGGACTCCCCTTCCCTGCCCACCCTGAGATCCAGGTTGGGGCACCTGGTGTAGTTACCGTTCACTCTAGTCTCATCCTTAACACTCCCCATCTGACCGACACTCGACTGGTAAACCCCTCTAAAAAGCCGGAGAAAAACACCACCCATTTCCAGGATAAGTTCCCACTCTTCCCACAGGGCCTTATTCCCCACCTGAGGAGTCCTGAAGGGGCGGGGTCAGCCCCAGTCCAGGGGAGTATGGAGGGTCAGAGGAAAAGTGTCCAAGGAGTTTCCCATTCCCACCCCCGCCCCCATAACATCCTTTTCTCTCCCTACAAGGACTAAGTGCAGAGTCTGCTGGGCAACTGGGGGGACATTCATGGGAGGCTAGCACCTAGCACCCCAAGGATAACCACCGCAGGGAAGGAGGGTCAGAAGAAGACACAGATGGGGAGAGGGTCCTGGGCCAGTGGTTTTCCACTCCCTAGTCCTGTCCGCCCCTTCCTTCTGCACCGTCTCCCCACCCCTCACCCGAGCGTCCAGGCTGTAGGCTGTCTTCCGAAGGTCCTGAAGGGCACGCTGCATGAACTCAAACGCGTGGCAGTCGACGCACGGGCGGCCTGCGGGGGTCGAGGGGAGCGAGAATCAAGCGGCAGCATCCTTGGGTCCCCTCCCTGCCCGCGCCCCACCAGCCCATCCCCATGGCGCCGCAGGGGCGGGACCCGCACCAGGAACAAAGGCAAGGCGCGCCCCCTCGGAGGCGCCCTGGCAGAAGAGACCGCTCGGTCTCGGTCTCGGTCTCGGTCTCGGTCTCGGGGCGCGAGCTGAGCTCGGGGTCGGGGGCGCAGGGCCTGAACGCAGGTGGGGGTACCTACTCTGAGCGGGGACGGCGCTCCCAGCGGCGGTGGGCTCCGCGCGAGCCTGGACGCCCAGCAGCGCCAAGCCGAACAGCAGCAGCAGCAGCAGAGGGGACCGCGGCGACATCAGCGACCTGCACGGGGGCGAGGGGGCCATGGCCGAGCCAAGGGAGCCCGCCCGGGGCCGCCTGCGGGAGCAGACGGGGTCAGCGGTGCCGGACTCCCGGGCTGGCCTCATTACGCCCCCTGGCCCGCGAACCTCTAGAACCTCCGGGTGTCGCGACACCCAGTCTGTCCACAGCCCCGCAAAGCCCCAGTCTGGGCCCCGCGAACCTCCAGCCCAACCCCCGGGTGCCGAGAGCCCCCAGTCCAGTCTCGCGAACCCAGCCAGCCCCCTTGACCCGCGAATCCCTCGCCAGCACCTCCCCCAGGCTCAGTGAATTCCCGGCCTGCCCCCGGAACCTCTCGAGCCCCCACATCGCCCCCCACCCTTACCGTGGTTCAGGGACCCCGCCACAAGCAGCGAGCGACAGCGACTTGAGAAGACGTTTTGCGTCCGGCGCGCACTGCGCATGCGCCTCCGCCAGACCCCACCCAGGTCCCCCAGGCGACGTAGTCGTCATGGAAACGCCAGGACTGCTAGTTTAAAGGGGCAGAGTGGCGCCTGGCTTGGGGAGGGCGCAGTTCCTACCGAGGTTGTCCCAGGATCATCGCCTGGCCGCGGACGGAGAACCGGGACAAGAGGCGCATCTACAGACAAGCAGAACTCGGATCCATCTGTTCCTTAATATTTTACTTCACACATGATGGCACTGCTGGAAAATGACAACCCCATCTGCTGGCTTCCACTTACGGAAGTTAATCTGTAAATGCTCATAGTGACTTTCTTCAGCGTCTTGGATCTCAGCAGGGCCAGCGGGGCAGAGTGACCCTGGTGGGGAGTCTTGACCTGAAGCGGGGATGGGAGAGAGGAGGGAGAGAGCTCACACCTTGGACACCGCGACTGTGGGTCCATCTCACGTGGGCCCAGCGGGTAGTTACCCTCTGGTCATCCGGTAAATCCCGGTGGTCATCACACCGTGCAAGGAGCAGAGTGTTTTGATTCCGACAAAGCGGGACGAAGCGGAGGGCAGAGAGAGTCGGGGAATCACCGAAGGGCTAAGACACACACACACACACACACCCCGAAAGGGAGCCCAGGAAAAATGACAATAAAATAAAAGGGTGACAAGTGGGACGCGAAACGCAGGGCTGGCGTCTTGGGGACTGCCTTTCTACATCTCAGGGCTCAATGGAGAGAGAAACACACTCAAATAAGTGTCCACACAGCAAAAGTGCGCTTCCCTGCCCGCCCCACTCCCGGTCTCCGCCCTTCCCGCCCAGATAATGGACCAGGCTGCGCGCGCAGATCAGCGCTGGGGTCAGGAAAAGATCACTGTGTGCTTTGATCCGGGAAGGCTCTCAGAATCTGCTGATGGCTAGTAGAAACGCTCGGTGGTCCCCCGTCAAGTGGAGCCCAGGGCACGTAACTCACCTGCCAAACCTTAGATGCACCTCTGACCCAGGGGGCTGCGTGAGAGGACCCTCCCAAGAGCACCAGCGCTGGAGTTATGCCCAGGGAACGGCTGGAGCCCGGAGGTCCAAGGTCTCAGGGAGTCCTTGAACCGATCTTGAGACGGGATGCTGCACTGGAGAACAGGACGTGAATGCAGATGTGCTCTCTCAGACCCTGGGCGTGGGGTCGAGTCTGAAGTCAAACCGTTTTGGGGGTCTATGCCAGGAGCGGCCCAGGCCCTGGGCACAGGGGAGAGGGTACCCATGCTTCCCTGGCCTGGTCTCAGTCTCGCCCTTCAGGTAGGTGGGGCACCCAGCTGCCTGCATGGTCTGTCCCGCGTGCTCCCTCTGCTCAGCCTCGGGTCTCTAGGATACCTCCCACACCCCACACCTCAGCCCCACCAGGAACCCTGAGATCTGGTTACAACCATTCCAACCCCAGCCAATGAGTGAGTTCGCAGGTCCCCTAGGCCTCTCTGTGTCGGCTTCTCCAGATGTGCTCACAAGATTGTTAGATGTGGAGTCCCAAGGAGACCCAACCATGTGCAAGGGGCGACCTCGTTCTCTGGAAGAGAAGGTCCTTGCTTACTCACCGAGCCCAGGCCGAGTACCGAGTACCGACCCAAGGTAAGCCCGGCCCCCGCTCGCCGCATGAGACTCAATTGTGACAGCGGCGCTAGCGGTGGTGACCCCGTCCCAGCCCCAGGCCCCTTCCCTGCTCTTCTCTCCTCATCCCTTCCCCATCAGGGCCTCGGTGGTGGGTGCGGTGGTCGCCCAGCACAGGCGGGTCCCTGGCGCTCCTGAGCTTCTCACAGTCAGATGGCCACTGGAATACGTGCTGGGGGATTCCGGGGCGCTAGTGGTCCCGCGTCCTTCCAGTCTTCCCAAGGGGACTCAGTCTCAGCGCCCAACCTCGAGACAGGACAGCTAGGCCTAGCTCATGTCGGGCACGGAGCACTGCTCACCAGCTTCTGGAGCGCCACGACTCAGGAGTTTTGCGGTTACCGGCACGAAAAGCGGATTAGGTAGTCTGGCGGAAGGCTGAGCTCCGGGTGGCCACTGCACGGCAGCCCAGGGGCTAGTGGACGGCTGGGACATAGGCGCCAAGGACGATACCAATCACAGGCTTTTTTCTGTCTCTGCGCCCCTTGGGGTCTCTGGCTGTGACCCAGGCCCCCCCACCCCCGACACACACACTCACGCGCAGTGCCATAGCTCTGGGGAGCCGTGTACCTGCTGTGCACCAGACTCCGCTGCAAACTCATCGGACGTGGGATAAGAGGGTCCGCGGCTGTGTTGGCAGGGCCCAGAACAGCACCCCACACGAGTCCAATCCGCTCCTGGACGCACCCCCCCCCAACTCCCAATCACATCACCAGCACACCCACATCACCCGCACAAGTCCACCTGGACGCTCTACATCCCACACCCCAACCTGATCACAACCCTCGACCCCCGTCCCTGCCCATGTTCACCCTAACCCTGTGCCGCCAAGGGGGTGGGAACCGCGTTGCTGACCAGGGGGGCGTCTACAGCCAGAGTCCTGGAACGGGTCAGAGTAGGGCATCCTGTCTCCCCCTCTGCAGGCCTTTTCTCCCTTGTTCCCTGCCTCTAGCTAAGGCTGCCTCGCTGCCCCTGCCCCATCCCAGCTGCCCTCCCCTCTCCCTCCCAAGGCACCAGCTTTCCTCTTGCACCTGAGCCTTCTCATCAGAAGTGAACAGGCTTCGGTTCCTCTCATATCTGAGTTCCTATAAACTTCCAGAACTAGAGCCCACTAAGTCATCGGAAACGTATTGTCTCCCTGTCCTAGAGGGCGGGAGTCACTGCCAGGCTCCAAGGGGAAGAGCCTTCCAGGCCCCTCCCAGCTTCCGGTGGCCCCAGGGTTCCTTGGCTTGTACATCCTCATCTCAAAAGACTCCCCTCTGTGGCTATCTCTTCTCTCCTTGTCGTCAACTCTGACTGTTCTCAGCATTGACAAGACACCACTTAGCCAAAACAATTCACTTTCATCCAGCGGAGTCCAACTCAAAGCAACCTGTATAGGGCTTCCAAGGTTATTAGCAAAAAAGAGGAAGATCCACCAGTGACCTGGACTGACACAATCCCAGCAGCGGTTCACTCTGTTGTGCACCGGGTCTCTGAGTCAAAACCTACTTCACAGCCCCTAACAACAACAACGAAATCTTTCCAGGAGCAGAAAGCCTCCTATTTCTTAGGTTTCACAGTCCCATTCTGATCCAACAGTACCACCAAGGTTCCAAGAGCCCACTTGCTGTTAATTTCTCAGGTAACTTGTTAATATAATTCTGAGTCAGAAAGTCTTGATTTGTTTGTGTTTTGTTTGTCCATGAAAAAGATGCCACTTGTTGTCAGGTGCCATCGAGTTGGAACC